GGGGGGGGGGCGGGCCTGGCCCGCGGCTCTCCGGAGGCCTGGCGCTGCTCCTTCCCAGGTGGGGGCAGGCTGAGCTCACTGCAGGCAGGAGGCGGCCCAGGGCCCCCGCCCCGCCCGGACACAGGCCCAGCACTGCCTGGGCTGCCACCAGGTGTGCAGGGGGCTTTCAGCATTTGCCGGCAGAGCTGCTGGAACACGGAGCCCCAGCGAGCGGCACAGCAGGCCCCTTCCCTCCCTGCTCCCAGTCACGCGGCCCCCGCCCTGCTTCATTTCCTCTTCTTCTCCTGTGTGCTCGTGAACCAGGAGTCCAGAAGCTTCTTGCTGTAGTAGAGCTGCCAGCCATGCACCTGCACCGCCACCACCACCAGCAGGTACAAGCGGTAGGCCTTGCCGTGCCGGTACAGCTGCTGCGCCATGGGGAACATCTCCATGCTGCCGTAGATGAGGGGGGCCACTGAGAACAGGCCCGTGCTGATCATGGACAGCACCAGGTAGCTGATGTTGTTGCGGGGAAAGGAGAGCAGGCCGAAGAGCGAGGGGATGATGCTGAGGAGGTAGGGGTACTCCCACTGGTAGGGCATGGCCACCTGGTCATGGGGCAGCAGCTTCAGGTGGCTCACACAGATCTGGGCCACGAGCAGCAGCCAGAGGGCCAACTGCATATAGATCAGCTTCTTTATCTCACACTTCAGGGCCACGCTGCAGAGAGAGAAAGCAAGGCCCAGGCTAGCACTTCCGGAAGAACAGGATGGCCGAACCCAGGGCCCGTCCAGCCCAGCGTCCTGTCTGCAGACAGGGGCTGATGCCAGGTGTCCCCAGGGGACTGAACACAACAGGGAATCCTCACATGACCCTACCCCGTCGCCCATTCCTAGCTTCTGACAAACAGAGGCCAGGGACACCATTCCAGCCCAGCCCGGCTAAGAGCCATTGACGGACCTAACTTCTACGCATTTATCTAGTTCTTTTTTGAACCTGTTAAAGTCCTGGCCTTTACAACATCCTCTGGCAAGGAGTTCCACAGGTTGACAGTGCGCTGTGTGAAGAAATACTGCCTTTTGCTTGTTTTAAAGCTGCCGACTATGAATTTCATTGTGTGACCCCTAGTTCTTGCATTATGAGAACAAGTACATAACTTTTCCTTATTCACTGTCTCCACACCTGACCTGATTTTATTGGCCTCTCTCTTAGGCTGTGTCTACACTGGGAAGCTTTGACAACACAAGTGCTGGCAAAAGGGAAAACCAGTCCAACTGTTTTCTCTGTCTCCCATGGATGGCATGTCAACAGGAGCGCTAGCAAAGCCGTGTGGGTTAGCATTCCGCTGTGCGGGGTTGTAGGACGGCAGAGCTGATCCCTGCGCTTCTCGGGATCTTTCAGAGTTCTCCCCCGCGTTCTCAGCTGCTGGGAGCAGCATCATGAGTAGCTTTGGGAGCTCCATGAGCTGAGACGTGTCCAAGCAGCACAGTCGTCTCTCCAGCCCTCCCCCTGCAGCAGCAGCCAGCCTGCCGCTGGGTTCCTAGCAGGCAGAACAGGAGCATCCCAATGATTTGCTCTTTCTTTGTTCCCCAAGCAGAGCAGCTCCCTCAGCTGCCAGACACTTCCCAGAGCTCTGGAAGGGGAGGGGCACAGGCCCGCAGAGCAGCAGAGATCACAACACACAGAGCACAGCCAGCACGGCAGGCGTTGTGGAACCTGGCAGAAGCCAGTTCTCTGGACAAAACAAACAGCAGAGTCCACCTGGCTCTTTATCAACAGTAAGGGGAGGGGAAAAGATAAAAGTGTCTCAGAGCGATGGAAGTTTCTTGTTGCCAAAACTGGGTGTTTTTTCTGACAAAAATTGCATTGTAGTGTAAATACTCTCTCTGTTCTGTCAACAAAAGGCAGTTTCTGGCAAAAAAAAATGTGCCAGTGTAGACAAGGCCTCCGCCTCCTCTTTTCTATGCTGAAAAGTCCCAGTTTTATTACTCTCTCCTCCTCTGGCAGCTGTTCCAAACCCCTCATCATTTCTGTTGCCCTTTTCTGAAGATTTTCCAATACCAAGGTATCTTTTTGAGATGAGGGGAAATTGCAGAACTATTAACTGTGGTTTGTAACCTATGCTTCCGTACCTAATGACTGGAAGGCAGCTAATGTGACACCAATATTTTAAAAGGGCTCTAGAGGTGATCCTGGCAATTACAGACCGGTAAGTCTACTCTAACGTCAGTACTGGGCAAGTTAGTTGAAACTATAGTAAAGAATAAAATTGTCAGACACGTGGATGAACAGTTTGTTGGGGGAAAGTCAACGTGGTTTCTGTAAAGGGAAATCCTGCCTTGCTAATCTGCTAGAGCTCTTTGAGCAAGTCAACAAACATGTGAACAAGGGGGAATCCAGTGGATGTGGTATACTTAGATTTCCAGAAAGCCTTTGACAAGGTCCCTCCCCAAAGGCTCTTAAGTTAACTAAGTTGTCAGGGATAAGAGGGAAGGTCCTTTCAGGGACTGATAACTGATTAAAAGACAAGAAACAAAGAGTAGGAATAAATGGCCAGTTTTCAGAGTGGAGAGAGGTAACTAGTGGGGTCCCCCATGGGTTGTCCTGGGACCAATCCTATTCAACCTATTTATAAATGATCTGGAGAAAAGGGTAAACAGGGAGGTGGCAACATTTGCAGTTGATACTAAACTGCTCAAGATAGTTAAGACCAAAGCAGATGGTGAAGAGCTTCAAAAAGATCTCCCCAATCTAAGTGATTGGGAAACAGTAATTGTCAACTGTAATTTAATGTTGATAAATGCAAAGAAATGCACATTGGAAAACATAATCCCAACTATCCATACAATACGATGAGAACAACGCGGGGCCTGTTGCAGTCTGGCTCTCATGATGAAATAGAGGAGCCTTTAGCCCCCCGCTGCGATCTGTTTGCAAAGCATTTTGCTAATAAGATCGCCCGCAGCCGGCTGGATTTGGACTCTGGTTGCTGTGTAAGTGGGGCACAGAATGTGTAGAGCGTACCACCCAGTCTTTTTTCTCTGGATCAATTTCAGCGACTGCAGACTGAGGATGTGGACATGGTGCTTGGCAGAGTGCGACCGACCACGTGCTCTCTTGACCCCTGCCCTTCATGACTTATTAAATCTAGCCAGGAAGGGATGACTGGCTGGGTCCAGGGGATTATTAATGCGTCTTTTAGATCTGGTATGGTTCCTGCTGCCTTGAAAGAGGCAGTGATAAAACCGTTACTCAAGAAGACCTCCCTGGACCCACATGACTTATCACCCAATTGCTAATATTCCCTTCTTGGGGAAGGTACTCGAGAGGGCGGTGGCACTGCAACTCCAAGCTTTCTTGGAAGAAACAGACTACTTAGCTCCATTTCAGTCTGGCTTTAGCCCTGGTTTTGGAACTGAAACAGCCTTGGTCGCCCTGGTAGACGATTTACGCCGGGAGATACAGGGGAGTGCATCCCTGTTGATTCGCCTAGACCTCTCAGCGGCTTTTGATACCATTGACCATGATATCCTTCTGGGACGCCTGGCGGAGTTGGGTATTGCAGGCACTGTTTTGCAATGGTTCCGGTCCTACCGGTCAGGACGCTTTCAGAAGGTGGAGCTAGGGGGCTGCTATTCGACCCCGTGGCGATTGTGCTACGGAGTCCCACAAGGTTCCATCTTGTCCCCTATGCTGTTTAATATCTACATGAAGCCGCTGGGCGAGGTCATAAGCAGTTTCGGAGGACGGTGCCATCAATATGCAGATGACACCCAACTATTTCCCTGTGACATTAGAACCAGGTGGCAGTGACTGATCTAAACCGGTGTCTGGAGGCAGTGATGGTTTGGATGAAGTCAAAGAAGCTGAAGTTGAACCCAGATAAGACTGAGGTCCTGTGGATCAGGAGGCCAACTGTGCGTGAATGTGGCGTGGCACCTGTTCTAGACGGGGTTACTCTCCCCTGAAAGAACAGGTGTGCAGCTTGGGAGTCCTGCTGGACCCTTTTTTAACATTTGAAAATCAGATTTCATTGGTGGCCAGGAGGGCCTTTGGGCAACATTGTTTGATCCGCCAGCTGCGACCCTTCCTGAACAAACATGACTTGGCCACAGTGATCCATGCGCTTGGTACATCCCACTGGATTGCTGTCATGCACTTTGTGAGGCTGCCTCTAAAGAGCCTTCGGAAACTTCAACTGGTCCAGAATGTGGCTGCTCGAGTTTTAACCAACACTAGTTATACAGAGCACATTATGCCAGGGCTTCAGCAGCTGCACTGGCTTCTGGTACGTTTCCAGGCACAATTTAAGGTTTTAGTTCTGACCTATAAAGCCTTCCAGGAGTTGGGTCCGGGGTATCTGAAGGACCCTCTTCTCCCATATGAACCTACCCAGGGATCGAGGTCAGCTGGGGAGGCTTTGCTTTGTCTTCCCCTACTTGTGGAGATAAGATTAACATCTACGCGGAACAGGGCCTTCTCAGCTTTTGCTTCCAGGCTGTGGAATTCTCTTCCTCGGGATATTCACCTGGCGCCAACGCTAGCATTGTTTCAGCGTCAGGCTAAAGTCACCCTTTTTACTTGCGCTTTTATTAATGTTGGAGTCTGTATGTGCATGTTCCTCCTCTCTATGTGTTTTTAGCTGGTTATGTCCCTCTGGGGTTTCATATTTTAAATTTTGATATATATTTGTATTTGTTTGGTTTTGTAAGCCGCCTTGAATATTTTAAATAGAAAGGTGGGGTAAAAATATTTAAATAATAACTAATTTGGCTACAATTACTCAAGAGAGATCTTGGAGTCACTGTGGATAGTTCTCTGAAAACATCCACTCTGTGCAGCGGCAGTCAAAAAACCAAACTGAATGTTAGGAATCATTAAAAAAGGGAGAGAGAATAAGAGAAAAAAAAATCTTATTGCCTCTCTATAAATCCCTGGGACGCCCACATCTGGAACACTGCTACAGATGTGGGCGCCTCTTCTCAGAAAAGATCTCTTGGCATTGGAAAAGGTTCAGAAAAGGGCAACACAAATGATTAGGAGTTTGGAAGGGGTCCCATCTGAAGAGAGGTTAAAAAGATTTGGACTTTTCAGCTCGGAAAAGAGGAGACTGATGGCGGATCTGACAGAGGCCTGTACAATCGTGAGTGGTGTGGGAAAAGTGAATAAGGAAAAGTTCTTTACACATTCCCATAATCAGGGCTCAACAAACCGCTGATGGGCGAGTCGCTCCGTGCACCCCATTCACCGGCACTGCGCGCATGCACGGTGCGGGGCTCTCGCCGTGGTTTGTCAAGCCCTGCCCATAATATAAGAACTAGGGGTCACTAAATGAAACGAATGGGCAACAGGTTTAAAAGAAACCAAAGGGAGTTTTTCTTCACTCAGTGCACAGTTAACCTGTGGAACTCCTCGCCAGGGGATGTGGTGAAGGCTAGAACTTTAACAGGGTTCAAAAAAGGGTTAGCTAGATTCCTGGAGGTTAGGTCCATTGATGGCTGTTAGCCAGGCTGGGTAGGAATGGTGTCCCTGGCCGCTGTTTGTCTGGAGGTGATCACATGAGGATTCCCTGTTCTGTTTCCTCCCTCTGGGGCACCCGGCATTGGCCACTGTGGGCAGACAGGACACTGGGCTGGATGGACCTTTGGTCTGACCGCTCTTATGAGGCAACCACGTCTGCACATAGCATGTGAGATGCGGTCGTCCCACAGATATATACAGAGGCTCTTCCTGGGTTCCTCTAGGTTTGCCTAGGGGCAGGGGGCTCTAAGACAGGAGAAGGCAGCTGCTAGGACAGAGCCTGAAGCCAGTCTGACTCCATTTCAGTCTGGCTTTAGCCCTGGTTTTGGAACTGAAACAGCCTTGGTCGCCCTGGTAGACGATTTACGCCGGGAGATACAGGGGAGTGCATCCCTGTTGATTCTCTTAGACCTCTCAGCGGCTTTTGATACCATTGACCATGATATCCTTCTGGGACTCGAGTTTTAACCAACACTAGTTATACAGAGCACATTATGCCAGGGCTTCAGCAGCTGCACTGGCTTCTGGTACGTTTCCAGGCACAATTTAAGGTTTTAGTTCTGACCTATAAAGCCTTCCAGGAGTTGGGTCCGGGGTATCTGAAGGACCGCTTGGTACATCCCACTGGATTGCTGTCATGCACTTTGTGAGGCTGCCTCTAAAGAGCCTTCGGAAACTTCAACTGGTCCAGAATGTGGCTGCTCGAGTTTTAACCAACACTAGTTATACAGAGCACATTATGCCAGGGCTTCAGCAGCTGCACTGGCTTCTGGTACGTTTCCAGGCACAATTTAAGGTTTTAGTTCTGACCTATAAAGCCTTCCAGGAGTTGGGTCCGGGGTATCTGAAGGACCCTCTTCTCCCATATGAACCTACCCAGGGATCGAGGTCAGCTGGGGAGGCTTTGCTTTGTCTTCCCCTACTTGTGGAGATAAGATTAACATCTACGCGGAACAGGGCCTTCTCAGCTTTTGCTTCCAGGCTGTGGAATTCTCTTCCTCGGGATATTCACCTGGCGCCAACGCTAGCATTGTTTCAGCGTCAGGCTAAAGTCACCCTTTTTACTTGCGCTTTTATTAATGTTGGAGTCTGTATGTGCATGTTCCTCCTCTCTATGTGTTTTTAGCTGGTTATGTCCCTCTGGGGTTTCATATTTTAAATTTTGATATATATTTGTATTTGTTTGGTTTTGTAAGCCGCCTTGAATATTTTAAATAGAAAGGTGGGGTAAAAATATTTAAATAATAACTAATTTGGCTACAATTACTCAAGAGAGATCTTGGAGTCACTGTGGATAGTTCTCTGAAAACATCCACTCTGTGCAGCGGCAGTCAAAAAACCAAACTGAATGTTAGGAATCATTAAAAAAGGGAGAGAGAATAAGAGAAAAAAAAATCTTATTGCCTCTCTATAAATCCCTGGGACACCCACATCTGGAACACTGCTACAGATGTGGGCGCCTCACCTCAGAAAAGATCTCTTGGCATTGGAAAAGGTTCAGAAAAGGGCAACACAAATGATTAGGAGTTTGGAAGGGGTCCCATCTGAAGAGAGGTTAAAAAGATTTGGACTTTTCAGCTCGGAAAAGAGGAGACTGATGGCGGATCTGACAGAGCATGTTCCTCCTCTCTATGTGTTTTTAGCTGGTTATGTCCCTCTGGGGTTTCATATTTTAAATTTTGATATATATTTGTATTTGTTTGGTTTTGTAAGCCGCCTTGAATATTTTAAATAGAAAGGTGGGGTAAAAATATTTAAATAATAACTAATTTGGCTACAATTACTCAAGAGAGATCTTGGAGTCACTGTGGATAGTTCTCTGAAAACATCCACTCTGTGCAGCGGCAGTCAAAAAACCAAACTGAATGTTAGGAATCATTAAAAAAGGGAGAGAGAATAAGAGAAAAAAAAATCTTATTGCCTCTCTATAAATCCCTGGGACGCCCACATCTGGAACACTGCTACAGATGTGGGCGCCTCTTCTCAGAAAAGATCTCTTGGCATTGGAAAAGGTTCAGAAAAGGGCAACACAAATGATTAGGAGTTTGGAAGGGGTCCCATCTGAAGAGAGGTTAAAAAGATTTGGACTTTTCAGCTCGGAAAAGAGGAGACTGATGGCGGATCTGACAGAGGCCTGTACAATCGTGAGTGGTGTGGGAAAAGTGAATAAGGAAAAGTTCTTTACACATTCCCATAATCAGGGCTCAACAAACCGCTGATGGGCGAGTCGCTCCGTGCACCCCATTCACCGGCACTGCGCGCATGCACGGTGCGGGGCTCTCGCCGTGGTTTGTCAAGCCCTGCCCATAATATAAGAACTAGGGGTCACTAAATGAAACGAATGGGCAACAGGTTTAAAAGAAACCAAAGGGAGTTTTTCTTCACTCAGTGCACAGTTAACCTGTGGAACTCCTCGCCAGGGGATGTGGTGAAGGCTAGAACTTTAACAGGGTTCAAAAAAGGGTTAGCTAGATTCCTGGAGGTTAGGTCCATTGATGGCTGTTAGCCAGGCTGGGTAGGAATGGTGTCCCTGGCCGCTGTTTGTCTGGAGGTGATCACATGAGGATTCCCTGTTCTGTTTCCTCCCTCTGGGGCACCCGGCATTGGCCACTGTGGGCAGACAGGACACTGGGCTGGATGGACCTTTGGTCTGACCGCTCTTATGAGGCAACCACGTCTGCACATAGCATGTGAGATGCGGTCGTCCCACAGATATATACAGAGGCTCTTCCTGGGTTCCTCTAGGTTTGCCTAGGGGCAGGGGGCTCTAAGACAGGAGAAGGCAGCTGCTAGGACAGAGCCTGAAGCCAGTCTGAATCTCAGCAGGGCCCCAGGACCCCAACAGAGTGACGCTGCAAACTTGTTAGACAGAATCGGTCTCACTGGAGCACAGCTGGGGTCCCCAGCAGCGAGTGATCCTGGAGCAACGCTAACCTGAAGGGCTATGGAGCAGGAGGAGCCAGGAAAGAGGAACCTGCCCCTCAGGAGGTCCCAGGGGGAAGCCTGCCTGAGCCTCTTTCCTGCAGAGGTGACCTCCTCACCTGAGTGGGCCGGGACAAGCCCAACAGAGAATGAAACTGCAGGTCAGCCTGGGCTTTCACTGGCCCGACACAGCCACAAACAGCTGTATGGGGAGGGCGTGCCCTGGCAGGCACCTGGAATGCTCACTCCGGTGGCAGCTGTCGTGCACAAGACCTCTGGCTTTTCCACGGGCCGGGCAGGTTGGCGGCTCCTTGCAGCATGACAGACCTGCCCTAGAAACACCGCCCCACATCTCCTCGCCTGGCTCCTCAGGCAGTCCAGGCTGCCATCCCGCACACAGTGCTCTGGGGATAGACACCTATGTCAGGGCCCAGGGAACCCAGCCATTCACAGACACAAGCCTGACCCACCGGGAGGTTCCACAGCCCCCCAGCTCCCTGGGCAGAGACCCAGAACTGAGCCCGAGAGCTCTTGGGGCTCAAGCCGGCCTGCACTTGGACCTACCTCATCTGGTAATGGGAGGCCACCCGCTCACGGTGCTGGTAGTCACTGCCATCAGTGCCCTCAGGCCGCGGGCCCGCCCGGGAAGCCATGACACGAGGCACCACAAGCCTGCCAGAGAGAAGGGGCAGGTGAGCCGGGGACACGCTGCCATCTCAGTGCACATGCCAGTGCCCACCGGAGCTCGGATCTCCTCGTGGGAAGGGCATAAACCCCGGGACACACGGGACTGATTACTAGGGCCCTGTGAAGACTGGTGGGCAGCCCCCATAACTGGCAATACCCAGCCAGCCCCCCCAGCCAACC